CCCCAAAACCCCAAAACCCCAAAACCCCATCTGAATGCATACATTGAATCTAAGATGAAATGATTGATTTCATATAAGTGCTAAAATTAGATTTCAGTAATATAGTCCCCATTAAGCAATAGACTTTTAATCTTAAATATATGAGTCATCTGCTGATTCTACTTTATGAGTCATTAAGTCCCGAGGCATTTACTGATATTTTATAGTTCTAATCGAATTCAGTTTTCAATCTCTCTATTAGCATTGTCGGAATTTTCAGCTCCTTAATTTATTTATCAAATTCAGAAATGGCCTATCTCTCTTCCTCTTCACTACTAAACTGTCTAATTAAGAATTTAGTGGGAAGGTTCACAACCTGACTAAGCATTATTTCAAAAGGCATGGTCAGCAGTTTCTCTTCATTTTCCCTTAGAATTAAAAGTGATACCTTGAAAATCATCTTCCATCCATACTATAAATGTTATTGATAAAAAGATTACAACAATAAAATAGTCCCAGAGTCTTAGTACAAGAGCACTGTGATCAAAAGTAGTCTGCATTTGTAAAGCATTTGTGAACAACGTTATGAAGTATGGTGAACTGAAGTAACTAGAGTTTATAGTTTCATCCTAAAAATTCACTATTAAACTTATTATCTTACCTTAAAATGAGCATGAAGGTCAGGCAGTTTAATAGAAATCATTCTGTCTAGTTGATAAAAAGTGAGTTTAAGCATTGGCAGCTCAGTGTTAAACAGCTGACTCATACTGTATTTTGCAATGATTTCCTTCATTACTGAGAACGATAGGTCTTCCTTTCCGAATAATAGATACAAGAAACCAGCAATAAAGTTCATACCCTAACAGTAATCCAGATTCGGATTGATGATGGCATAGGTCTTCAAAATATTGTTTAAGTTATCAGGAGAGATTTGTTTCAGATTATTGAATGATCGATTCACATCAACTTCTATAGCATCGGATACAGACTTTGACAAAGCCACTTAAGACTGCTAGAAAGCTCTGTCATAATCTTCTTAGCTGTATTGCGGATCTATTTTAAGCAGCTTCAACCACAGTACTCGCCTTTTGCTAGTTAATCTGGTTTGGCTTGATCTAAGCAAACCCTGTTTCAACACCTCTTGAATTAGTACTTCGTTGTAGTCTCTCGAAAGCATAAGTAAATTTCTGAGTGTAATGTCATTATCTATGAACTTAATAGTCATTCCCAGGATTTACATTGAGTCAGTGTATCCGAAGTTTTTTATTCTGTTTCCTCGTTTCTGCAGTGACCATATAAGTAGCTCCTTCTCTGTAAACATTGAATCTGTATTCTTTTGATTGGACTGTAGCTCTGTCAGAAGCAGATGTATACGGCTCTGCTCAAGTTAGAAATTTTCACAGTAGTTGATAAGGATCTCGTTTGCTTGCTCGTAGGCTAGCCCAAAGTTGATAAAGAAGTTAACGAATTTGCTTAACTCATTAAAGATCAGGTTTTAGTTAGCTTTGGCTTCTTAAAGATGCTTTGAGTCCTTCAGTGATAACATGCCTTTCAATTGCTTAAAACCCTTTTTGAAGATATTTTTCTCTGATTAGTTTTTCTAATCCTAGATAGCTTTAGCTTTCCTCTTTCTGATTTTAGTCTAGTCAGCAATCTTTATTTCGATTATCTCAATGATCATTTCTTTCCAAATTCTTACATCTTGCCAGATTCCATGATCAGATAATAAAGTTGATAGGAATAATTTTCTTTTGTTTATCTAAAAGATATTATTTAATATGATTGTATATATTATTACTGAAGTGTAGATGTTTTGAGAACTTTCAAGTATGTTGTAAACTAGTCTATAATCAGTTGACTGTTCATGCACAAACACTATTTCAAGAAGATATTTATTAAATGATGCTTACAAGTGAGAATGAATTTAATTATATCAGCAATTAGTTTCAAGCATTCTGAATTGCTCAGTTATCTAGGCGAAATAATATCCTTAAGGATATTAGTCATTTCGGACCTCATCACCTTATCGTGCATGAGTTGAATTAGCTTGCCCTTCTCCTCTATAGTAATAGCCGTTGACTTAAGTAGTTTATTCATCTAATCCTCTAGTAGTCTCTTGTCCTTTTAAAACTAATCTACTGGATTATTAACAATTTCAAATTATTGTTCAGTAAGAGTTACATTTCTATTGAGTTGACCCCCATATTATTTATTATTTGAATTGGATGTGCTATTATTGCTCTATGCACTGATTGATGTATTATTCAATGCATTCTAAATATAGTCATCATCTATAAATGAAGATTTGCCCGGAGTTACTTCAAACTAAGAAGTAGCTTCAATTGAGGTAGCTCTGGTTGACCTGACACCATACTTAAAAGTCTATTCGAATTCCTAGTACACCTCTCTTTGCAAGAAGGGGTTTTATGACTTATTCTGATCTACAAAGATTTTCAAATCAATCTCACTGCTTATTATACCTACTGTCTAGCCAATCTCATCTCCTCTCTAGTTTATTTCTTTTCCCATTTACTCAATGTATCTACTTAACTTTTCAAGATTAAACTTGACAAAATTAATTTGAGCATCATCTCCATCTTATATTCTGTTCAGAATAGGCTTATAGGAAGTTTCAAACATATCAATCGTTAAATTCACTTTCGATAGCTGTCTCTCATACTCATTTCTAGCCATATCCACTTTGTTTGACTGCAGCTGTAGCTTTTTATCCTATATTCCAATATGAGCTTCTTCATTGTGTCCCTAATAACTTATTTTTCGATTAGTTTTATCTGGAGTTGCATTTGCATTTCCAAAAGCAGTAGCTGCTGCCTCACTGTACTGTAATTGCAATTGCTGCATTTGATGCATCTAGTTATGATAGTTTTCCTTTGCAAAGAGCATCTATGTTCGATCTTAATGCAGAGTTGTCCAAAATTGATTGCCCTGTTTGATCAGCTCCTGATTAGTTGAGGAATAATGCTTGTAGTATAAATCAAGTGGCTCTATCAGATCCCTCTATATCAACTCTGCTTTCTCTAAGATTCCTCGATGCATATCCTCCAGTGTAAACTTTATATTGAACATGGCGGTCCTTAATGTATCCTATACTGTATCTTATCCCTGCTTGGTGAAGTCTTTTTCATATTAAATGAGGGTTTTAGCCAATGCTTGAGTGAAAGTTTCAAGTGATTTTTTATACGAAGCGAAAAAACTCTTCAGATTCTTCATAAAATGATATCTTAAATTTGTTTAATCCCCCAAAGAAGATAAGCAGTCCCATAAGTCATTGCCATATGAAGTCACTGTGGAAGGTAATTCAGACTTCTTTCTACTGGGTTCTTAATCCTAGACTAATCTGTTTTGTTGAGATATTGTAGATGATCTATCCATTAAAATTGTTTGCAAATTTTATAATTCACACTTATATCTTTCTTACGGGGTTTTGGGGTTTTGGGGAGATCGGAAGAGCGTCGTGTA